CTCAGCCTTCTCTGCGCCGCTATTCCCTAACGAGAGCTATTTTCGCATCAAAGCGTGACAAGGAGCCGCCGGACCAGCGACGAGAGATTTGCAAGACTAACGGACGGATGGATGGATGGATGGATGGGAATTAGCTTCCTTTTCCCAAAGCCTTTCTCTTCATTCCGTGTTTCCCCTCACTCCACCTCCCCCCCCCCAAAAAAAAAAATCACATGGGACTTTCCCCTGACTCACGGACACAATATGTATATATGCATCTCAAAGCATCTTTCTTGCCTTATTCTCATGTGCTATATGACAAGCCGAGGGAATCAACATGTCTGGTGAATGTTTCCTTTTTCTTTTTTTTTTCCCCCTCTAGATCTGCTACTGAAAGCAGCATCCCCAAATCTTTTGTTCTACCATGAGTAGTCTTCCCTGAGCAAACCTGTGTATGAAAAATGATCTGCCAACAAAAAACACAGAAACAGGAATTTCCCTACCTTTGTTTGTAGAAGCAGAACCTCTGGACGGACAGATCAAGGGAGAGAGCATGTTGGGAATGTCCAGTCTCCTCTTCTTGCTTGCATATCCACTTAAGAAGAATAAGGGTCGGGGGGTAAACGTGGAGGTATGAGTTTTTTTAAAAAAAAATCCTATTTGACTGTAAAAAAAAAATGAAAAAGGAAATTCTTTGTGGCAATCTTGCGTCTTGAAGCAGTGAAAATTCAAAAGCAGGAGAGAATCACTTCAGAGGATATTCAGTGCATGTGGTGAGGATCGTCAAATGCAGGTTCCAGAGTATGCATTCCTTTCGCCTTTTTTAATTTTTTTCCTCTGGAGCACTAGTAGAGAAGGTTGTGTTTAAAGCAACTGGAGGTCGGTGCTGTTCTTCTGTGAAGCATGATTATCCTCAAAGCGTCCCCCTCCTGAAGGGAAAAATAAGCATCAATTTTGTATTAGAGGGGTCTGAAGGCGATAAAACCCGCTCCCCGACAAAGACATTAATATATGGAGAAGAAAGAGAGGAAAAACGCATTTCCCAACAGTGCACACGAGCGGAATCAAGGAAAAAGAAGGGAGGAAAAAAAAAAAAAAAGAAAAAAAAAAAAAAGCAGCTGGCACGGGTCTATAAATAATTCAGACCCGGGCTGGCTACACCATTCGCGGGCTCGGCGTGCACGGAGCGCGGGCGCGCTGTGCAGCGCG